CTATGAAGACTTTAAAAAACATTGACGAATGAATTAATGAATGATCTTTAACCTGTGTTAACCTGAATACTTTTCTCCTGCAGACTAAACACCCAGAGAATCTTAATTTAAATGGGAAAAAGACAAGGAGAAAAATATTTTTTGCACATTTTATTCTTTATATTCATATTTGTATGTATATAGCCTCAGGAATATTTTGCTTATGTATGATACTATAGACCTAATTTCAAAGTTTAAGAAACTATCCAAATATGGAGCTTGAAATAAAATTGTACTGTGTTGACTTTTGCTTGAGGTAAAAATGAAGCTTTATTGGACAATTTAAATTTTTATGCAAAATATTTTGTTATGTTTGAATTTGCCTTGTAGACTTACCAATAATTCATATGCTCCAAAAGGATTTGAGAAAAATGTTCCCTATATTTGTAGAAAAGAGTGTACAGATCTATTTGTTATTGTCAACATGTATAAATGTTGGTTTGTATCCACCATACTAATTCATGGTTCACCTGGAAACATGAAGCCAAGACTGCCCTATCAGAACATACTGCTTTGCCAACACACATCAAGGCTAGATCTGCTTCATATTTATAAATCCAATTTAACTCCTTTGTACCTACTATTGGACAATCCCCATATTTGAAACTGAATTTGTAGTCATGCCCCAGATTAGTTCTTTTTTCTGAGATCTCAACTTTAGTGAACTATTATACATTGGCCTTTATTTCTTTAATTCTCCCAAAACCCCTTTTAAGTAGATTCTCATAGAATAGTTACAAAGAGCCAAAGGGAGATAAAATATTAGCTGTTAGTAGTGGCATAGTAACTCCCAAAGTACAAGGCTTCCTAGGATTAAGGATGATACTTAGGCTTGAGGCCCAAAATACACCATTGTACTTCTTCTCCTAGTGTTGAAGACAACTTGGGATGGGACAGTTCATCTCACTAATCCACTTAGTCTCAGGCTGTGGACATTCCCTTCCCCAACTGGAACTTACTGCCTAGAGATAGGAAATACACACTAGGCCTGACTGAAAAAAGGCAAGTCCAAAAATGAAAAAAAAAAAAAATGTGCTTCAAACTCACCCAAAAGATAGACACGACCCCTGACTGTCAGACTCTGGCCCATCTCACCAATCAGTTAGTCATTCCTTTCCACCTGAGCTCAGGACATTATGTTTGTCAGGGAGAGAATCTATAAATATACTATCAACCTCTCCCCTCTTACCAGGATAAAGACCCTTTCTTTGGAGCCCTGATAAGTAGGGAAATAAGATTTCCTGCTTTAATACTCTCTGCCAATTCCCTGGTCATTTAAGCTAAGTTCTTGGCCATAACTCTGAACTATATCCATTTTCTTACTTCCTAACCATCCCCTGTATTATATTGATCATTGGATCCTGAAGTTTTATCCCCCAGATCTTTCTCCATACCTCCTTTTTTCTCCATCTAGCCTACCTTGATCCTAGGTCCTCATAATCCCTTGCCAACACAACAGTAACAATCTTCTAATTCTTATTTCTGATTTAAGTCTTGTTCCATTTCTAATTCATTGTTTCTCCACATTACAGCCAGAATGATCATTCTGAAACTCAGTTCTTATTATGTCACCCTCATGTCACATACAGCTTCCCATTAACTACAGGGATAAGGGCCAAATTCTTTAGAATAAATTACAGAACTCTTATGTCCTAACTTTCCAAACTTAACTGCCCCATTTCCCTCCATATTCATTCCAATAACGTGAAAATGCTTGTAGTTTCTGACAGTCACCATGCAGCTGCAAATCTTCATCCATTTGTTCATGTGATTCCTTCCATCTGAAACACTCTTGACTCCCTGTCTCATTTGGTTAACTCTGATTCAAGTTTGAAGATTCTGTTGTAGCCAACACTCCTTCAGAAGCTTCCCATGATCTCATTACTTGTCCCTGCCCTGCTCCTTCAGCTGGGGAGATTACTCCTCTTCCGTACTCACTCTGTGAATAGCTCTATCATTGAATTGACTACCCCATGTTGACTTTTTTTCATGTCTGTCTTCCTCTTGGTTAGGGGCCATATCGCCAGTAACTAGAGGTTACCAGCATTCAAGATAAATCTGTGGATTTAAATCGAACTCTTTGTTTTCCTAAATCATTCATTCTTTGATTTATTAATTCAATAACTTATTAATGAATTTTATGAATTTCACCTTACTCACCCACTTTTGTTTTGCTGAGTAATATCCTAATTTTCCAGATGTGTCTGGCCTGTGTGGAAATCAATCATTTCTCGCTTCGCTACACATTCTAGAGCATATGAAGACATTTGTTAGCCATTTTCAAATTGTGATTTGTAAATTACCCACTTGAATCATTTTTATATGCTCTTATTCCAGTGACATTCCTGATTACACTTTGTATTTTTTATGAGGATTAGACTGGCATAAGTGATGTTGTCTAACAGCCTAACACTGGAACTAAGACTACTGCTTCCTCCTTACTGGCGTCCATCTGCAGAAAATGCAACTCTCAATGGCATCCATCAGAACTAACTACATTTTGATGAACAATAATAGCAAAGTAACATCAGATTATGACTTCACAGAAGGTCTTTAAAGTCAGATTCAGCCTGTTTCTTCTTGCTTCAGAAATTTGCCTGCTCAAGAGCTTTAGCTGCTAATAGGAACTGATTTTCTTTCCTTTTTTCTTCTTCTTCTCTTTTTCATTCCAGTTCATAAAGGTTCAAATTTTAAAGAGCTTCGATATAAACCCTACATTTTCCAAAGAAAATCTCAGAAAACTGTGGGAAATATTGGAGAGTGAGAGGTGGGTAGCTAGTCCAGGAGCAGTGGGTTTGGGAACCTGAGAATAATGAACAATAGGGTCTCTCTGTGCATCTGGCAATGAGGATAATGAATGGCCAGAGTGAGTGAGGGCAGGAGCCAGGAAGGATACAGCCATGAAATAGAGAACAAAGTCTTCTCTATTATTCTCTTCCCATAATGGGCCCATTCCTCCAGGAAAGTACAAAAATTGTATAACTATCTCAAAAAGAGATCTTTAAAATAATAGCAATAATAGTAAGCTAATTGATTTTACATCTAATAACCAGATTAATAAATACTATACTCTAAAACCTTTGGAAATACATTAAGTATATAAACAACCTCATACTTATTATATATCAGGAATCAAAATATTTTAACAACCAGCCCAACATGTAGCAGCCAACTAGAACAGATGCCTGCCATAAACACTAGTAAGACCATCCTGGAGCACAGAGTTAAATGAATATTCACACAATTGAATATACACACATCTGCACAAATACCAGACATCTCTTTCCTCTCCTGCCAACTTTTATACTAAATACTACTCTGGTTTCTTTTTGAATCAACAAGAATGACTAATGATAAAAAATGTTAAAGAAAAATCTGAAGTTATTCTTGTGTATGTTGCTTTATTGCCTGAAGCTAAAAAAATAAAAATAAAAAAAATATGAGTTTCCTTCTCCATTTCCAGTCTTCTATGTGTCCTCTCCCTTTCGAGGCCCTAAAGACCTACAACTCCCCACCTTCCACACCCCTTTGATTCGGAGCTCCCATTTCAAACTAAATGAAACTAAATGAGATCTCATGCTGCTCCTTAGCCACCTGCCTTGATGGAGTCCTGAGCATTGCCTTCTTTCTTATTCTTTTCACGAATCTCTCCAAGCACCCTGAGCAATTTCTTACTTCTTTTCTTCCTTTTCTTTCAGACCTGTTTCAAATCCAATCCTCTACTGATGAGCTTTTTTATGGTTTTTTGTTTGTTTGTTTGTTTGTTTGTTTTCTTGGCCATTCAGTCATTTAAAAATTCTTTGGAGAATAGTAATTTGAGGATGTTCTGAGGCTCATGTTATGGACCCAAACTCTCAACCCATTTTTCAAAGGGAACATTTGCGTATTCTACTGGATAACTTACTTGTGTATCTCATTTAACGATTACAATGCAATGGACACATCATTTCCACTTTCCAGGAACCTGAGATTCAGAAAGGCTGAAGAACTTGTCCTTGACCACAGAGCTAGTAGGCAGTGAAATCAATTTTTGAATTCAGGAGACTGTTTTACTCCAATTTCATGTTCTTTCAGGCCCAGTATTGCTGCTGTATGATAAATAGCAAAAAATAATAATAATAACTATCCAAAGTCATAAAATCTTGCCTTGATTTGACTAACATTTCTTCTAAATTCACTCAAGAGTTTACACATAAAAGAAGGCTGATTCACCACTCCATATCTCAACATTGCTTATAAATTTTAAGCCAATATAACCTTAAGCAACCCTAAGCTTGAGGAAAATGTTAACTGAAATAAATTCTGTATTTTACTGCTGTGGGGAAACAAGGTGTGAAGTTGACAAATTCTGAATTAACATTCCATTATGTATTCAGAGAGTACAAAAATATCAGTGATGATCACCTGGGGGTTAAAAGGCAAAGGAACAAACCCAAAGCATATGTTATGGGTTGAGAGGATTGTTTCCCTTCTTTAGAGTTAGAGAGAAGAAAAAAGTATTTGCAGATAGACATGGGCTCAAGTAAAGAAAGACTTCTTTCTTTTTTTTTTTTTTCTTTAAAGAAAATTCTTGGGATACATTATAATAATTTATATTTTTAAAACACTTGTAATTTTATTGTTGTTTTAAATATGCTCCTGAGATTTTTTTTTATCAAATTGTCTATATTTTATCAGCAAATGGTCAAAAAATAGAGTTGTTCCATAGAAGAAAAGAGGAAGAAAGTTTGGACTACTTGTTTCTGCTCAGGGTTGGGGTGTGTGTGTGTGCGTGCGTGCGTGCATGCGTGCGTGCGTGTGTGTGTTGGGCGGCAATGGGCACATACTGGGACCTAATTGCACTCAGGCAGATTTGGAGGGGCTCCTCTCAGTCTCTCTGCCCTAAGAAGGCATGAGAAGTTACTTACCTACTCTCTAGTAACTGTGAATCTCATATAAGACTTTATTAATTTCCACCTCAGAAATATTTACCAAAAAATCAGGGACCACGACCTCTTGGACAAAAGGAAAACTGTCACAGCACTGAAAGCAGGAGAAGACCGGGCCATTCTCCTGGGACTGACCATGATGGTGTGCTCCATCATGATGTACTTTCTGCTGGGAATCACACTCCTGCGCTCATACATGCAGAGGTAACACCATCAGCTGGTTGGGTCACTTGTCTTTGTCTCCTCCTTCTACCTCCTCCCCCATAGATTATCAACCTCAGATCCTCTTCCCCCCCTTCTTTCCTAATAAGGACATTAAGCTGAACATAATGTTTTTCAATAATGTTGTCTAATAATAATGATAAAATAGCTCTGTGTATAAACTTCCTACTATGTGCCAGGATCCATATGTTACTTGTTTAATTCTCATAACAATTTTATAAGGTAGATATGAATATATGCACCATAAAAATGGCAAAACAGGCTCAGGAGAGAAATAATTTGCCCAGTGCCACACAGCTCTAGCATACGGCAGAGCCAAGATTCAAACCCACATCCTACTAATTCCAGGGACCCTGTTTTTGCCTCTTCACACTTCTGTTCATTCTCCACCCTCATTCCTCCCCCTACCCACCCCACTTCTCCATTACCCCACGCATCAGTGGTCTCAACTGTACATTTAAACTTCCTGAGAAACTTTTTGAAATACTGATCTCATTCCCCACCACCATCACCCCAGAGGTCATATGTAATTGGCCTGGAGTGGGAACCAGTCATCAGTATCTTAAATTTCTCCAGGTAATTCTCATACATATGCTGTCAAGACTGAGAAACACTGCTATGCACCAATTTGGGGGGGGGGGGGGAAATACAGATTTTGAACCATGAGTTACTGAATAGATATGGAGGCAGTTAAATGCTGAGATATCATGTGTCTTCTCCCTGAGCAAGCCACAGCATCTCTAGCTAACTCTTCCCGTAATTTGGACACTTTGAGCACAGGAGGAAAGCCCAGCATTGCTCGAACAAATAGGGAAAATCTCACAGTAGTTCAGCTTAAAAAGATGAGAGTCTTTCAAATGAAAAACCGAGGTTTCAGTCCAAAAGAGAATCAAATGATTTTGTGGCATTCAGTTCTCCACCTAAATTACTACTTTCACGTAGAAGCAAACTCTAGCTGAAACACAGTAATTTGCTAAAATTAAGGCATCTTCTTTCCCATTTGTGGCTGCTTTGCTCTATTTCTCAGATGCCTTCAGCTGTCTCCTTCTCAATGAAAGTGCTGATTGCTGCCTCAGGCTCCCAGCATTCACTGGTTCCAAAACCACTTTCAGATCCTCACATCTGCTGAGAGCCATCAAAGACTCTTTCCTCCCTGGATAAGCAAACTCTGGCCACCCAGGTCCTAGGAAAATACAATTTGTCATGCCAGAGGGGGTCGGGGCTACTATGCTGCCTCTGGCATAAATCTGGACAGGACAAGGGGGCCCTGTCAACACATGTTCTGCAAAAGGAAGGGATATCCTTCTGCAAAGAAAACTGCTGTCGTCTGTTCACGATGGTTATCGTTTTACCCCCAGAAACAAACTCTTGATTGCTGGTGTGTTTCTTCCTAGTCACAAATGTGACCCTTGATCAGATACTTTTAAGTACTTTAGAAGGAAAATCTAGCCAATGAACAGCTGGAAGTTGTTGGGTTTTTTTTCCTTTAATTTTTATGAGAGGTCCCAAGAGGACATTTGTCCTCTTTTCCAAAGCACACAGCTCCATGGACCCAGTCTGGGCCTTGGAGAAATCAGGATTGAGTGGAATCACAATCTCCATCACTCACTAGCTGCATTTCTTCACATGCTACTTGTTTTCTCTGACCCTCAGTTCACTTGCCTTCAAAGGGAATTAATACCCAACTTACAGAGTTGTTGGGAGGATAATGCATATAAAACACCAGTTAGGGTGAAAAGAGATACCCAAATGATTGCTTTTGGTACAAAGGGTGGCTATCTTTCCTCCCTTATTAGAGAGGCCTTAAAGAAATGTATTCCTGTCCCTCCATCTGTCAAATTGGACCTCAAACCCTCCACCCCTTTGTCATCTTCCCTCCTCCCCTTATACCGTCTCTGCTACAAACTGGACAGGATTTGCAAAGGTGAACACTGAGCATGGCAGGAAGCTGCTTGCAAGGTAATACAGGTGAGTGTAGGATTGATGTCATAAGATGTTTTATGCTTACCAGTGAATTTGAGATGGGAAAAAAATAACTTAAACCAAGCATTGGTGGAAAATATTATACTATAACCAATGCGAGTCATTGAAAGAGTTCTCAGGCGCCAGGTAAACTTATCTATGTTTATATTATGGTTTGCCCAAAGCTGCTCTACTCAAAAGCATAAACTTTAACAACTAGGTCGTATTATAGATTTGAAAAAGATGCTTCAGGCTAAGGACAAATGATCCCTCTAATTAAGCCTTCCTTGCTGTGAGCGCTTTGGACCTGTGTTTACTCTCCCCATCTCCCTGTAGCGTGTGGACCGAGGAATCTCAGTGCACCTTGCTGAATGCATCCATCACGGAAACATTTAATTGCTCCTTCAGCTGTGGCCCGGACTGCTTGAAACTCTCTCAGTACCCCTGCCTCCAGGTGTATGTCAACCTGACTTCTTCAGGGGAAAAGCTCCTTCTCTACCACACCGAAGAGACAATGAAAATCAATCAGAAGGTAGGTCACCTCCGCAGGGCTCCCACACCCAGCTCCCCTCTCTGAAGACCCCTGTGCCAGCATTTCAAAGGAAAGCACCACCAGGGAGCAGGCCCTGCCTCATCTGTAAACAGAACTCACTATTTGACTCTGGCCTGGGAAACATTTATTTTCTGTGCATGTTGTGGACAAATCATTCCCCCATGCTGTGGTGGTGCAGATTTACCCTTTCCTTCCATTTCTAAGAGAAAACCTCCTGTTCTTATTTATACACAACTAGACTGAGTCTCTCAAAGTAAACATACAGCTCAGTCAGAGTTGTGCCAGCCAGAAAACTAGCTATTTGTCATATACCTAGGAGCCCTGAGGGAAAGCTGTATCTGGCTTTTCCATGGTCACTGTCACTGAGTCCTGTGGTCTTGGGGATGTAACTTAACTTCTCTGAGCCTCAGCTTCCTTAGCGCTGAAAAGATAAAGACAATGGTCACCTTTCAAGGTCATTGTGAGGGTTAGAGCAGAGGGTGTAAGGTGCTGAGCAGAGCACGGTGCCTGGCACAGGGCAGACCTTCAATCCAAGGTCACGGTATGTGTGTGCCTGTGTGTCTCTCCTCATGTATGTTATGTCCATAGGAGCTGCATTTTCCAGCCCTGACATGTTCACATTCCCAGGGTGGGTACTCCACAAATATGTATTGTATTAAAACTGCACATAAAATTTGTAGTTCTAAGGTCAGGGATGACCAGTAAAGTGCCGGCAGAACCAACCTGCCATTATCAGTTTGAAGTTAAACATATTTAGTTTGGGGGGGGGGGGGGTGTAGTAATTCAGAGGCCAGAGTACTCTCCCATGCCAAAACAATCTGAAGCCACTCCAGTAGGATAAATGGCCCTCATGACCCAGACACTGCCCTCAGGAACTCTTGTCCTTCTTGCCAAAGCTTTTCATTACAATTACCAGCGCTTAAAAGACATAGATTGTATGTATTGGAGCTTTGAAGCTTGATGCTCTAACATAGGCTTTCTTTTGTGATATATTGGCACAAAGTAAGGAAAGCTACATTTTGTGTTTGTTTTTTTTTTTGGGGGGGGGGGTTTTAAATATATTTTATTTGATTTTGTACAGAGAGGAAGGGAGAGAGATAGTTAGAAACATCGATGAGAGAGAGTCATCGACCAGCTGCCTCTTGCACACCCCCTACTGGGGATATGCCCGCAACTAAGGTACATGCCCTTGACCAGAATCGAACCCGGGTTCTCCAGTCCCCAAGCCGATGCTCTATCCATTGAGCCAAACTGGTTTCGGCTACATTTTGTTTTTATTGAAATAACTTAGAAGATATTCTTGCAAATATCTCTGAGGACTCAACATAATGAATATTTCAGGGAACGTCTTTTGAAGATCTCCGCTCTGATTTCCTTTGTTTGTGGTAGCCACAAACCATACCAGTCCTCGCCGTGTTCTGCAAATCTTTAAAGTCCAGCTCTCCCACAAAGCATGTGTTTTTCAACATCTTCCCTCAGGTCAGATTTCTAAATCAAAGCTGACCTGTAACAACGAAGGCCTATAAAACTCCCAAATCTTCGTGGAATTGAAAATTGGCCCAAATTGAATAAGCATGAAAAAAAAGTAGGACATCGTACCATTTCCTCATTTTGACATTTTATCACTTCAGCCCTGTGAATGCATAAACACGGCTATAAACAGGCATTGGACCTACCACAGAAAGTCTCAGTTAAAAATTTAGGACCAGTATCTTGTCTGCTGTCAGCTTGGTAGTAGGTCATTTGTTTGTTGTTTGTCCTATTACCTTGTTGTTGTTTTTTACTGTGAATTACAGCACACATGTAGAAACATGCAAGAAGTGAAAGTATACAGCTCAAACATTTATCACAGAGATCCCCAGGTAACTACGAGGGTAAAGAAACAAAACATTCCTGCATCACAAAAACACCCTCATGGCTCCTCCCAATAACTATCAGCTCTGCCCCCTGCCAAAGATAACTACTGTCCTGATATTATGGCGATTACTTTTTTTTTTTATTTTATCACGTAAACATATTTCCCTAAACACTGTACTTTAGTCTTGCCTGGTTTCTAAACATGATGTAAATTGAATCATACAGAATATTTCTCTTTGTGCCTGGCCCCCTTCACATAACACTATGTTTGTTAGAGTCATTCCATTTGGTGCTGCTAGTTCATTCACTTTTACTAAAGTAGTATAGCCCATGGTATGAATATACCAGTTTATTTACTCATTCTACTATTGGTGGAAATTGCGAGTTTTCTACAGTTTGGGACCATTACTAATAATTCAGCCAGGCATATTCTCATATATGTCTCTTGGTGCAAAACCTGGAAATGGAATATCCAGATCATAGAGTATACCTATCTTAGTTTTAGGAGATAATGTCAAATGGTTTTCCAAAGTGCCTCTCACCAACCCTATGGGTATGAGAGTGTTTATTGCTCCAAATCCTCACTCAACACTTGGTATCATATATCATTTTAATTTTAGCTAATGTGGCAATATTTCCTTTGGTTCTCATGACTCAAGTGCCTTTTTATTTACTTATTGGCCATTTGGATATCCTCTTTTGTACAATATCTGTTCAAACCCCCTCGTCCATTTTTCTATTAGAGTGTTTCTTCTTCACATTCATTCTAGAGATTCTTTAAATCTAGGTATTACCTCCATTGGTTAATATGTCTTCAAATATCTTCTCCCATTATGTGGCCTTCTCACACTCTTAATATCTTTGAAAGAATGAAGTTTATCATTTTAATACATCCAAATGTTATATTTTTCAGTGTGTTATTTTTGTATGTGTGAGCATCCTATTTAAAGTGTCTACTGGGTCATGAAGTCATTCTCCTAAGTTTTCTTCTAGAAGCATATGGTTTCTCTTTGCACACATAGAGTACGATTAGCCTGGAATTGATACTTATGCAGAAGTCAAGTTTCTGGGTTTCTTTCTTTTTTCTTTTTTTATGAGCATCCATATGTCCAAATCCATTATTGAAAATAACACCCTTTCCTTACCCGATTATTTTTATAATCTCATTTCCCCTCTATTCTCTTAAAAGTTATCTGTTTTATTGTTATTATTATAGTGTTTAGCCTACAAATTACAACTTGCAATCTTGACTAATCAAGAACAATAAAAAATTTCATTCACTGAGGATAAAATTCTAAGTTTGTCATTATTTTTTTTCCACATGTTGAAAACATGCCATTCTCTCTTGGTGAGCATTTTTACTATTTAGAAATCAGCTATAAGCTAGTTGATGCTTCTTTGAAGCTAATCTTCATCTATTTTAAAGATTATTTTCTTTAATATTCTGAAATTTATCTATTATTTGCCAAAGTGCACATTTATTTTTATTTAGCTTACTTAGTGTTCTCAGGGTTTCTCTCATCATTCCTTGAGGTTCTTTATCAATTTTAGATAGTTTTTCATCATTATTATATCAAATACTATCTTCGCTTTCATTCTCTCCCATTTCTTCTGCTTAAAATCCAAATTGGCCATATGTTAGGTTTTCTCAATGCATCCTCTGTGTGTTTTATTCTCTTTTTTTATTTTCCCTTTCTTTGTTTTTCTGAGCTTTATTCTGGTTATTGACCTATCTTCTAATTTGTACTTCTATCCCCAGTTCTGATTAATCTACTATTAAATTCATCCTTTGAGTTCTTAATTTCTCTTATTGTAATTTTCATGCATAAAACACCCATTTGGGTCTTATTTTATAATTTTTTACTTTTCCATAATATTTTAATTCTTATATTTTAAATCCTTTGACATAAAAAAGTAAATTATAGTTATTTTAAAGTTTATTTTGATGGTTTCAATATCTGAAGCCCCTCTGTGCCTATTCTTTTCTCTTGGGATATTTTTTTCCATGTTGTATAATGTCTGGTTAATTTTTATTAGGTTTCAGACATCATATTTTAAATTGTTTTAACAATAATTTAATCCTAGGATGATGTCATATTTTCCAAAACTTATTTCCATTTGCCTCTTCCAGGCCCCTGAGGATATTAGCCATTAATGACCATCTCATTCTGACTTGATAAGTTGAGACATTCAAGTCTGAACTGAAGTCCCTGTGAGGACCTGTTTGCTTCAGGTTTACTGTTACTCCTATGATGCAGCCCTTACGAGTCCAACTCAAAGTGAATGAGGGGATGTCATCAGGGGAGCCACTTGATAGGCTCTCACTCTGCAAGGCTGTCAGAAATACCATTCAGCCTTCCAGGCTCTCAGCCCTCTCCTGGGATCAGCAGATGCTCCTAGGGGAAAGGTGGCATCAAACACTGATTCCCCTCACTGGCCTGGTAGTTCTTCACCCTCTGAATAGCTTTCCTCTTCCCTTAATCAGAAATATAGCTCAGCCAGTATGGCTCAGTGATTGAGCATCAACCTATGAACCTGGAGGTCACAGTTGAATTTAGTGGGCTCAATCCCCAGTGTGAGGTGTTTGGGAGGCAGGCGATCAATGATTCTCTCTCATCATTGATGTTTATATTTTACTCTCCCTCTCCCTTTCTCTCTAAAATCAATAAAAATATATTTTTAAAAATTAGAACTATATACATTGAAAATACAGTTATCTGCATGTCAGCAGGCCATTAGACCATGATCTTAGTCCAGCATGAAAAATATTCAGGGATATTTCTGGGAGTGGGTGGTTAAAATACTCTTTATGTGGATATCTCCTTCCTATTACCCTTCCCCAAGCTTCTCTAAAAATAATAGCCTCCCCCCTAGTTACCAAAAAATGGTATATTTATTCAGATACAGAAGTCACTGCTGACAACGTTTGATTTGAGACAACAGGAGGCAAAGGACATCAAGCAAGCAAGCTGTTGGTATCTTTATAGAAAAATATCCAAAACGATTTCATTTTTAAATTTTTATACTCTCTCATCTATCCCTTTCCTTAGCCTGCAAACACAGTGCCCAGCCTCTTGTCAACATTACAGTTAAAGCTGCTTAAGCTGATACGCAGGCTCCCC